AGCTAAACTAATTATGAGAAAATATATCGCAGATAATTAAATCGTAAAGCATTAACTGTACACTGGTTGATTAACACAATTAGGATAATTGAAGTTCTGGAAATCGGCTGATAACGAATATTAATGACGTGATATTACCGCAGCCAGGGGCTAGAAGTAATAAAAAAAAACACGCGCAAAAAAAGAAAGAAAACAAACACCAAAAACAAAAGAAAGGGAGAAAGAAAGACAGAAAAACATGTTTATCCCCCGGAAGCAGCATCTCTTATCTCCGCCACTTGCACTGTGGAGAGTCAACGAATAAACAGCATCACAAGATTTGCGGAGGCGGCTTTTAGGACCATGCTTGTCTGCGCCTTCCGGGCGCGGGGCGAGGTGGGCGTGGCGGAGGGGAGGGGAAGGGGGGAGGGCTGTCAGCGCTGGATGGGCAGCAAGATACTCGCCTCTTTTATCTTGCAGGAAATTTCAGATATATGGATGCAACGCACACACAAACAAATACTCACACATACACACACACACACACACACACACACACACACACACACACACACACACACACACACACACATACACACACACACACACACACACACACACACACACACACACAAACACACACACACACACATATATATATATATATATATATATATATATATATATATATATATATATATATATATATATATATATATATATATATATATATACATATATATATATGTGTGTGTGTGTGTGTGTGTGTGTGTGTGCGCGTGTATCTATTTATCTATTTATGTACACGCACATGCATACAAGCATATACACTCCTGCCGCCGTCCCTGCTGAGCCTCCCGCGAGAGGAGCGAAGGGAAGCGTCGCGGGACGAACTACGGAAACCGACGGAGGCGAAGAAGGTCTTTGTTTGTGGAAAGAAGAAGAAAAGGAGGAGCCACTTTGTCCCTCCTTTACCGATTTCCCGTCGCCATTTTGCCGAAAAAGCGAAAGGGAAAAGCGTTGAAACATATGCACAAATACAATATACATGTATATAAATAAATAAATAAATAAATAGACAAATAAATAATTAGATGAACACACACACACACACAAAAAAAAAAATATATATATATATATATATATATATATATATATATATATATATATATATATATATATATATATTTATATACACACACACACATACACACTCTCACACATATACATGCATACACACATATACATACATACATATAAATACATACATATACATACACACACACACACACACACACACACACACACACACACACACACACACACACACACAGACATATATATATATATATATATATATATATATATATATATATATATATATATATATATATATATATATATATATATATATATGTGTGTGTGTGTGTGTGTGTGTATGTGTGTGTGTGTGTGTGTGTATAATTTTACAAAATCTACGGAAAACCACAAATAGAACATGGAGGTTTCAGATCAATGCTATTCATCAGATTACAAGCAATAAGAAGCATAACATCAATAAAGAATAAATAAAAGAAACATTATGCATACAATTTACTTATATCAAATACACAAAATTATATTCCAATAAAATAATTGGCAACTGGAATATAACCTCAATAAAGATAAAAACGTTTTTATATTTATAGATCAATGAAAACCATTCGACTCTTTCACATGTATCGACTTTTCGCCGCGCGCTGTCCGACGCCGCGCATCCCGCGGCGTTGTGGGCACGACCAAGGCAGTCCGCATAACGATACGACAATGTGTCGTCACTTCACTTTTCCAACATGAGCACACAGGACCACTTGCCCTTTATTACTTATATTTAAAAGTAAAAAAACACCGTTCACATGGCAGGAAATGGGTGCATAGTATGAGTGTTGCCAGACCTGTGGTGGGAGCTTTTGTCACTCTGTATGAGGAGCTCAGAAGTGACGGGAAAAAGGTTTTCTAATACTTTCGAATGAAGAGAAAATAGTTTCAGTGTCTATATCAACTTCCCCTGGTGAGCATAGCTGCATGTCAGGGGTCAGGGTGCAAGTGAAATAAGCCGTCGAGTCGAGACTGCGAAAGGTCAGCAAGTCTGAACGCGTCCATAGCGTGCCATGTACATTTCACGCCGTCCACGGCGCTTCGTCGTACCGACAACAAATGGGCGCCGTGGTGGCAACGGCGGTCGTTGCCGTTCGCGGCCGTGATCGTGACGCGTGAAAGCGTCCATAGACACCCATGGTTATTTAAGAGTACGGCATCATGTCATGGACGGCAGCCTCCGGGCTAGTACAGTGGCAACATGTCGGCCTTTCATCCGAGGGGTCGGCGGTTCGCGTCCCGCCCAGGCGCGAGAAGCTGCAATTGTCGCCTGGAGGTTACTGTTGTAGCTGGGCACCACGGTGGGTAAGGACTAAGCTCATCCGAGTCAGCACCTGCTGACACACTGTTAGCGAGTCGACATTAGTCGGCACAGGCCGGGCTC